GTGTGTGTGTGTGTGTGTGTGTGTATGTGTGTGTTGAGGCGGAGGGGGGGGGGTGTCAGCCGCATGGGCGGGCCTCTGATACATAAGGGCCAGCCTGGCGTACAGGAGGCACCTGCCACAACGCGCCAGGCCGTCAGCAGGCAGGCAACACTGCCGTTTTCGACCATTCGTATTTGGTGTGCCCTTGGTGTCAACGTGGCGTCAAGGCCCAACGCAAAGCCCGTTGATTGCATGGCAATAAAAAGGGCAGCAGGCATGCAGGAACGTGGATGCATGTTGCACACGCGCAGCGTCGGCTGCTCAAATGTCATGCGGCCGCACCTCGAAGGGTCCGAAGCCCTCCACTTCCAGCCCTTCAAATTCGAGGTGCGTTGCAGGGGGCGCAGCCGCTGCAGAGTGGCCCATGTCCTGCTTGGCGGGAGGGGGTGGAGGAGGTTTTTTTGGTTTGCTTGTGTGTGTGTGTGTGTGTTGGGGGGGTTGTCTGTATGTCTATGCATGCGTACGTGTGCTTGCACGTGTACGTGCGTGCGTGTGTGTGTGGCAGGGGGGGCAGCAACAGGTGAGCAAAAGTGGTTGTGAGTCAATGTCTGGTCAAGCAGCGACCGGACGGGTAGGTGTTTGTGAGTTTCCAGGTAGGAGATGATGGCAAACGCAGGGTTCACAGAAGGCAAGCAAGAGCAAAAGAAGCGTGGCGCCCAGCCCTTGTCAAAGAATAATCGAAGCCCGTTTCGCCGCTCATGGGGAACGGGCTGGATCGGGGGTTGGAAGTTGCAATACACGGCAGTGCCTGCTTGCCTTGAGCACAGCCTCTGCGGCCGCCAAGACGTCGGGGGCCATGGAGGTGGCGTCTGCGTATGCGGCCAGCAGCTGGGCCATCGACAGCTGCTCGGCAGCTTCTATGCGGGCGGCGCGGGCCGGGGGCTGCATGATGACCTCCAGGGCCACTCCTAGGGTGGGAATTTTGGAGGCGGCGGTTGGGAGGTGGTTGGGGGTAGTTATGGGTGGTTGGAGGCGGTTTGAGGGTTTTTGCGGCGGTGGTTGGGAGGTGGTTGGGGGTAGTTATGGGTGGTTGGAGGCGGTTTGGGGCTTTTGGGGGCGGCGGTTGGGAGGTGGTTGGGGGTGGTTGCGGGGTCACGTAGGAGGTGAGTTTTGGGCCCTAGGCGATGACAGTGTCTGAAGAGTCCTTGGTCGTCGCAATTGCAAGCAGCGGGCAGGATCTCGCGTGCAGAACAGACCCTCCTTGCTGATCAACCACGGGTGAATTTTCACAGAATTGTGATGAGCTCACAAGCTGCATTATGCGAAACTCATGCAAGAGCCCGCCGCGCCAAAGCCTCGTGGGTGAGGCCCCCAAGCCCTTGCAGGCAAAACCACCAGAGACCCCTCACCCGCGGCTGCCATCCCCTTCTGCAGCTCTGCCATATCGTCCACCGCCCGCCCATCTGCCACCGCCACCCGCACGCGGTCCCCCGCGCGCAGGCGGCCGCCGGCCAGCAGCTCCCGGATGCCGTCCGGCGTCGCGGCCGCGGGCGCCGCCGAGGCGGCGGCCGTTAGGAGGTCCGATGCTGCATCGCTGCCGTCGGCGGCGGCTGAGGGGTCGGGGGAGGAGCCGGTTGTTGTGGCAAACGTGAAGTGCCTGCGGCGGCAGAGTAGTGGGGTCGTGCAAGCAGTTCAGGGCGATTCAGTCGAAGCAAGAGTTTGTACCCTTACTTGGATGAAGGGTGACGTTGATGCATGCATGCGTGTGAATGTGTGAATGTGTGAATGTGTATGTGTATGTTTTGTATGTGTGTGTGTGTGTACCAGTGTGTGTGTGTGTGTGTTCGTGGATGCAGGTGCACGTGGTTAGGTGACGAATGCAAGGGGGGAGGCACGAGGGCGCAGGTGCAACCCCCAAGTCCGCGAGGCTGACATGCAGCGGAATAGAAGGGCCTTTGCAGGAACCATTTGATTGCCACAGCAGCAGCTGGCGCTCTGCACAGGGCTGCGCCTGAAGAATTTGGGGGCCATAACGGGCCCGTCTGTTCCAAACCCTCATTCACTCGCCCAACCCCTAAACACACGTGCACGCGCACGCACGCAAGCACACACACACACACACACACACACACGCACACCTGGGTCCCATCTCAAGGGGGATGTCTGCAACCGCCTGCCACTCCGGACTCAGCAGCAGCAGCCGCTTGGACTGGCCCGCCTCGGACCGCGACACTGCATCGAGGCGAGTGGACACATGGGGCAGCACAGCGGATACAGCAACAAGGTGTGAGGCGTTGGGGCGGCAAGCAGCCGGGCTCGCAGGCAAAAATCAAATGCCAATGCACAGCGAGCAGGGTGTGTGGGGCCTGGGAGATATGAAGCAGGGAGGGGGGCCGCAGGGCGCAGGGCGCAGGGCACATGGCACAAGGGCCAGAGCGCTGGGGTACCCGTTCCCCAGCTCATCGCTCTTATACCCCCCCTCACTTAGGCTCTTGGATCCGTGTCGGGCCCCGCAAGCTGACCGGCCCCGCCCCGCCCACCTTGGTAGGGAGAGCCGATGTACGTGATTCTCGTCCCTGGGACAGTCTGGAGGTGAGCGGGGACCGGCGGCAGTTGGGAATTTCGACGGTCGGCGCGCACCGCGATGCAGGACAAAAGCAGCAAACCCCACGCACATTTATCACGCCGTGCGCAACTGCCGCTCCACTCAGCCAGCACCGCAAAGCCTATCCCGCACTACTGCCAAAGTCCCGGCCTGGCTTCCAACACATCACACAATTAAATCAAATTACCAAGGCAGCAGCCTGTCAAGGGATCATGGAAAGCGCTTGTGTCGCTTATTGCGTCACTTGACACACCCCTGGCGTCACCATGTCACCCACCTGGGGCATGTGGTAGTGACCCATGAAGACCGGGATGTCCAGGGGGAAGGCGTCGGTGGGCAGCCCACTGCTGGCCTGGTGGGCCGCGTTCATGTGGGCGCCCATCTGTGGTGTGTGTGTGGATCGGGGGATGGGGAGGTGACAGGTGACCAGCTTGAGTGTGTGGGTGCAAAAATAGGTGCATAATGGGTGCTCGGGCACTACACATGACATGCATGTGGGACACCCAGGGTGAATAAAGAAGGACTGAAATTTGCAGAACCAGGCCATGTGTTCAGGTCTCAATGCGTTGATTAGAGAGGGGGAGGCGAGGGTGACGGGGCCTGATAAGGGGGCGGGGGCGTGCGCCGCGCGGCCCCCACCGTGTCGGCGTGGGCGAAGATAGCCTTCGTGGCGCCGCGCCCCGCCGCCGCCGCGAGCGCCGCCCTCAGCACCGACTCGTCGCGCCTGCGGCGGCCGCGCAGACGCGGGCGAATAATGGCTGTTTTAACGTGTTTCTGGCGCCAGGTGGGGGTGCGCCGCTGGCGTCCTGGGCTCTCGCTCAATGTCGCACAAAACGGGTGGGCCGCCATCATGCCGGGCCGCAACACCTTGCCCACCCTGCATGAATCCCCAAAACGCGGCTTTGGCCCTTGCACAACGATGCTCTGACCACCGGCTCCGCCAATGCATGCGGCCAACGAACCGCGCGTGCTGCTTGTGAATTCAGCAACAACAACCACGCGTGGCATGCTCTTGGTGCTGTGACCTGTACGGCAGCCACAGGGCTCCTGCGTAGTGCGACGGCTCAGTGAACACGTGCGCCCGCCGGCACACGGCCGCCAGCGGCGTCAGGGAGTGGTGGCGACCTGCTTGGTCGACCTGACACAGGGCGGCCGAGGGGGGCGGAGCCCAACGAAGGTTTGGACGGGCGAGGCCGTTTGGGGGCGAGGGTCCAAGGATTGGGGTTGCGGGTTTGCTCAGTGTCGGGAGTGCGAGCCGAGGGGCCAGGGTGGGGCGATATGACTCAGAGGTTTCGCAAATCTCAGCAAGCCGTGTCTCACGCGCCGAGACGGCCGCGAGCTGATATGCGAAAGCCTCCGCCGTGCGGCGCGCCTGCAGAGGGCGCGGCCGGCGGGCCTCAGGCGGCGGGCGCGGCGTGCTTGCAGCCGCGGGCGCGGCTTGCCTGGTCGTGGTTTCCTGGCAGCATCAGCACGGGCGCCTCCCACGACCGCAGCTCATTCACCACCTGTTGGGTTTGGGCAGGGGGTGCATTCAATTGTCTGCGGCGTGCTCGTACCCTATATGGCAAGGGTCGTGGCAGCAAGAACGATCCGAAGGTTCCCGGTTTGGCGCACCGCACGCGCGCTCCCAGGCGGCGGCGGGAGCGTCGACCCGGCGCCCGTAGGCCGCTGCGCCATCTTTGGCGTGGGCCCTCTGTCGGCGGGAAGCATTCGCGGGGCCCTCCTTTCCCGATGATCTGGCGCCCATCGACACTCTCCTCCCAAACAAACCCCCCTCCCCCTCCCCCCAAATGACAAATCCAACGCGGTGCCCACCTGGTTGAGGGGCCCCACTGGCAAGTCCCCTCTACGGTCCCAGAAGTCACCTGGGGTTGTGTAAGAGGTGTGATGGGGGACAATTTGGGTGCTGAACAGCGGCAGGCGGGATTGCTGGCTGACTGATGAGTCATGCCAGCCTGCACTGTCATGGGCCGGGCCCGCCCAGCAGGCACGGGCTGCTCGGCCAAACGAGGCGCAGACTGCTCGTCGGCGGCGCCCGCGGCGGCGGGGCGCAGTCCGCGGACTGCCCAGGGCTCACCCAGGAAGAGCACCCCCGCGCCGCGCGCCGCCGCCTCTTGGTGCACGCGCTTCAGGACGTCCATGCACACGTCTAGGGATCTGTGGGATACATGGAGGTCTGAGAACACGACCCAGCCGGACACGGACGAGAAGTCGGGGCCGTCCGGGCCGTCCGCCAGCTGGAGGGCGCCGGCATGCTGCTGCTCCTGCTGCGGGGTCGGCGGTTGGGCGAGGGCCGCCGCGGCACCGCGGCGTCGCGAGGCGCGGGCGGGCTCGCCGGCGGCGGGGGTTGCGGCGGACTTGAGGGCGGCGGGCTTGCGGCTGCGCCGCTTGGGCGTGGCGGGCGCGGCGTCGGGCGGGGCGTCGGAATCTTGTGGGGTGGCCGCTGACGCCGACGCGGCTGCGGTGTGCGCGCGCCTCCGCGCGTCTGCTTGGCACCGCAGAAAGCCGCGACGCAGCCAGCAGAGTGCCGGAGGTGGCGCAGCACGGGCTGCGGCGGCGGCAACTGGGAACATCGGGGGCCCGCAAACCGCTGACGGACGCAGCATTAGGGGCCCGCAAGCAGTCCGCGGTGTAGTAGCAGGTGTAACGCGAAGAATATGTATGTGCGCCCTCGTGAAACGTAGCGCGCTGCGGGCTGATGGTCCCGGCGCTGGGCGGGCAGATCAGGTGAGATCAGGACGGAAGATGTTTCAGCGGTCAGGGTCGCATATCGTAATTCAGGTCAAACAGGGCCGATTTTCGCGGTCGAGGCGCCTATTCATGACGTACTTGCCTCGCGCACACACTTGACTCAGAATCACCCAACAAAACGGGACTTGGGATCTAATATAGTTGCGAGAGTCTATTCACAGACGTCAAGCTTTGTCCTCTTGTGCTTGTTGAGAACAACAGCTGCAGGCACAGCCATGCTCCAGGCCCTCGCCCACCGGGCCGCGGCCAAGGCGCCGCCTATGCTGCGGGAGCAATGCACGCGGGCAATGATGACCGCAGGAAGCAGGTATGACCATCAGATGGACATGGAAAACTTCAGGATTGAGACAGCTGACCATTGACATCGGTCTCCCTCCGCAGGGCCCTCATCAGCGGGCCTTTCAGGCGTCAAAATGGTACATTCACGCCGTTTAACCGGGTGGCGATGGCCTCTGCCGCTACGGAGCAAGGTATGCAATGCCGCTGCGGCGCACCACAGGATGCGGCGCGCTGTCCACATGCGCCGCCTCCCTGGCCTGCCCCGCCCCGCAGCCATCAGCGCCTCCTGCGCGCTTTGGCGCATGGTGCCTCAGCATGCGTTGCGCCCAAATCGAATCCACTTGACTTCCAATCCGCTCATCCACTTTGACGGCCCTGCACGCCCGCGGCCCCGCCCCCCGCCCCTGCAGCGGCCCCGCTCTCTGCGCCCGCGGCCTCGGCCGCCCCCGAAGCAGCGCGCGGCGCCACCGCCAACGTAGTCCAGATCCTGCGGGAGCGCGGTCTAGTCCAGGAGGTGACGTCGGAAGATCTGGAGTCGCTGGCGGCGCAGACCAGCCTGAGCGTGTACTGCGGCTTTGACCCGACCGCCGACAGCCTGCATCTGGGAAACCTGCTGGGTATCATAGTCCTGGCCTGGTTTCAAAGGTGAGGGGCACGGACGGGTGGGCGGGCGCACGCACGCTCGGCGTAAAAGGCACTTGAGTGCTGCGACGGCGGCGGCTGCAGCGGTGTTCGCAGGGCCTCACCTGCGGCACATGCTTCTGTTGCTTGCGGGTGGCCTTGTGTTGTGGGCGACGCGTGGAGTGTGACGCTGTGATTTGGGTAGAGGAGGAAAGGAGGGCAAGAGCTGGTGTGGTGCGGGGACAGCCGCTGCTGCGCTGTGCAGGCAGCAGCATGGCTGCGCAACCCACAGCACAGCGAGAGGCCGAGCGGGCAAACGGCCGCTGGTTGTTGCGGGCGTGCGGGGCGCGCCGGCGCGGCGGGTGTATGGGACAGGAGACAGTTCCCAGCGCATGGCAGCAGCTGCTACTGCTTGCATGCTACATGGCTGGCGCCACGTACCGCACGAGTTTGCAGGGGCTGCCGTCAACCTCGAGTGTTTTCAGGTCGCTGCACGTCGGCCGGGCTGCCCACGAGCAGTCTCGTTATTGCAGTAACTCGGCCCACGGCGCCACGCGGGCAGCAGCCGATTGTTTTATTGCAAGCCGCCGTCTCCCCCCCTAAACCAGCTGCGCAAAACCCTGCACTCCCTGGGGTGTCAGGTGCGGCCACACGCCGGTCGCGCTGGTGGGCGGCGCGACGGGGCGCGTGGGGGACCCCTCTGGACGCAGCAGCGAGCGGCCGGTGCTCAGCGAAGAGGCCATCGAGCGCAACGTGGCGGGTGAGCTTTGGGGGGCTTTACCGGGAGGTTGCCCAGATATCACACACACACACACACACACACACACACGCACGCACGCACGCACGCATGCACGCATGCACGCACACGCACACACGTGCACGCGCGTGCACACACACACACACACGCTGGTCCACCCCTCGCCCAACCCCCCGGCCCCCCCACAAAAGGCATCCGCGGCATACTGACCTCCATTCTGGAGCGCTCCACCGCCACAGCCGGCGCCACCGTGCCCCGCGTCAAGGTGCAGCAGGGTTGTGTGATCGAGGGTGATGCGCAGCGCAGAACGCCTGAGCCCCCGGGTGACAGGAGCGGCGGCCAGATTGCGAGGCCGGCGGTCGCACAGCTTTCCACTCGTATTTGCTGTGCCGGGGATCCCCTGAACCTGAGAAACCCTCAACCCCTTAACCCTGGACTCTGGGGGCTCACCGTGTGCTGCCCCCTCCTCCTCCCAGGTGCTCAACAACCTGGAGTGGTTTGGCCCCATGTCGTTCCTGGGCTTCCTGCGGGATGTGGGCAAGTACGCCCGCGTGGGCACCATGATGGCCAAGGACTCGGTGGGTGGGACTGGGTGGCTGGGACTGTGTGGGCGGGACTGGGTGGCCGGGACGCGCTGGGTGGGACTTGGTGGGAGGGACTGGGTGGGCGGGACTCAGTGGGTCGCGCGCAGCGCGGCACTGGCTGCGGTGGCGCGGCCCTTGGTCCCAGATGCCGGGGTGCCGAGCCCCGACCAGGCCCGTCGTGGTCTGTCGCCCCGCGATGCGGGCGTTGGGTCAGGCACTGTCGGCGGCTTCTGCTCAAATGGGTCCTGTCGAAAGGGATCGTGCAGTCGTGCTGTTGGCTAGGGCTTTGCCACGCTGCGAGGCATTTGTCGCAATCCAAGCGCGTCGCCAGGCACGCAGCCGCAGCGCGGCTGGTCCCAGGCGCCCCTCCCTGCGCTCTGGGAGCCGATTCAGCTGCCCGGGTTGAGCCACACTTGCCCGCAGCAACCCCCCTTGGCTTGCTGCTGCCCCCGCCGCGCACCACACATCCACACAAACACCGCTCGCGCTTGTTTGATCTTGTCCCCGTCATCCCACCCTGCGCGACAAGATGATATGCATAAACCCTGCATGCCCCTTCAACTTCAGGTGCGCACGCGCATGGAGTCCGAGCAGGGGATCTCATTCACTGAATTTACCTACCAGTTGCTGCAGGGCTATGACTTTGTGCACCTATGCAGGTGAGCTCAGCCCATCGGGCGTTGGATGCAGATTCAAGGCAGCAGTGTCGTGCCCCTCCGATTGTGAGCTCCCACAATCAGCTCAGCAAAGGTGGTGGCGTCTGCCAATAGCGACAGTGGTGGCGGCGACGATGTGCAC